TTCGGTAGTGAGTTTTCTCTTTCAATTTCATTGAAGTGTTGGAGGAGTATTGGTGTGAGCTCTGCTTTGAAGGCCTTATAGAATTCCACTGTAAAACCATCTGGTCCTGGGCTTTTCTTAGATGGGAGGTCTCTTATTGCTGTTTCTATTTCAGTGCTTGATATGGGCCTGTTAAGATGGTTTAACTCATTTGGTTTAGTTTAGGCATGATAGACCCAGATTTGTATCAAAGCGGTGCTGTCCCAGGCAGCCTGGCTGTCGGCAAGACTCTACTCAAAATTCAACCAGAGCAGAGATGGGTAGGGCATGACTCGTGTGTAGCAGACCTTCCTACAAACTCCAGTACCACCAAAAAATGGCAACAGAGCAAGCACAAAAACAGGAGGAATGCACCGTAACCCTAAGTCTTTATATTTTCATGATCATGTCTTCTCTTTCAGACTGAGCACATGTATGCTTACTTAAAACTGTGGTGTGTGTGTGTATATATATATATATATCAGATATATGTATATATATCAGATATATATATGAAATATATCTGATATATATACATATATATTTTTTGATCAAGTTATTGCTAAGATTTATACCTAGTAAGTGCATGCTAATTCTGTTGGATGATGGATGAAGTCCTGTGAAGTTGGGCAGAGGAATAATGGGTGGTGAACTTTACTGCTTTGTGGTGATAGGATGGAACGCAGGTCCTTAGCGCGTGCTAGGCTGGTGCTTTGCCACTGAACTCGCCCCGCTCCTGGGAGCAGAGTGCTGATGGTGAGCCTGCCCCAGGCGCGGGGCCATGCTTTCTTGTCCAGCATTGCAGTGGGGGCCCGGTTACGGAAGCCACGGTGGCAGACCCCTTGGCCTCTGGACAGCTCCTGAAGCTCACTGTGTGTCTGAAACTTAGACATTGTTCTCTGGAATGAGCTTTAGTACTCTCGCAGGGGCTTACGAGCTTTCTAGGAACCTTAGTAAGTACTCTGTTCTCTTGGAACCAGATTGAGGAGGCACCAACTGCCTGCAGCCAACTTTGGATAAGATTCCTCATCTTTCCTCCCCAGTTTCTTAAATAATCACACTACCATTACTGTTACGGAGACTAAATGAGACAGAGCCTAACAGCTGCTAGCACCGTCACCGTGACCGTAGGTGTTTGTTGAGTGCTGCCTACTCTTCTCTTCTCTCTCTCTCTCTCTTTTTATTATTAGAACTCCATAGAAAAAGTTAACAAAGGAGCTGTTACAGTTAGTGTAAGTTATGTAGCAAAAGGTAGTATACAGCAGAGCCTGATTGTATGATTGTATCGTGAGCTGTCTCAGGGAATGAACTCCATTTCTGCTCATCTGTTGGTTTTTCTTCAGACCCATGGAGAAGTAGGGAAGGCATTTAGAACCAGCTAAGACTGGTTTTATTGGCATGAATGACATTAAGTGCTGAGAATAGCTGCCAAAAGGCTTGATTGTGAATCAAGAATAAAAGGCTTGTGGTAAGATTTAAAATTTTGAGTTTCATAAGAGAAGAGCTTAATGCATCTTAAGGCATTCCATTTGTTGCTTTAACATTGCCAGCATTTATTATTAAAATGGGTGGTTGTAGAATAATTATAGACTATATCATGATGATGATGTTTTTAAAGAACATCTACAGTTTTTTCAAACTAATGTATTTGGGAAAACATGACATTTATTGAGGATTCAAGTAGTTTGCTGCACCTCAAAAGAGCACTACGGACGCTATTTAAAGGCACTGCACATTTTGAAAGGTACTTTTATGCTAATTACTGTGTTTCCCTGTTAAATTCTTAAAATGAAGAGCATCAATGTGGTAATTGGGGGTTGGGGTAAGAACGGTCTAAAATACAGAAAGAGTAGGAGATTATTAACACCCTTGTGTAAATATAATTGGAATTTTTTTGAAGGGAAATAATAGAAAAGATGATAGTAATTATATTGATTATCTTTATAGCCATTATGGAGTAAAACTAGAGAATCATTTTTTAATAGTTTTTTAGATGCCTTTATTAACATATTAAATTTAAAAGATTGGAATGGAAAAACATATCTTTCTACAGAAAAAGAATAAAAAATTTTAGGTGGTCTTAAACAGTATCCTAAACTTCTTTATGAAAAGGTTGGAAAGTAATTCTGTTTATTAGACATAAAGGAGTTGTGTCAGTTTGGTACCATTTGGTGTCTGGATGTTCATTTGCACGTGCTAAGAGTTGTCGTCCATTGACTCTTGAGTTTGAGGCGGGGCACAGTGCTCTCCACAAGAAAAGCACTGTCCACACTGCACTACACTCCAGCTGCCTTGCAGCTCCCCACCCTGTGGAGCTCCTGGGAGGAGACATCCACCCGTGGCATTTGTAGACCAGCAGAGCCAGAAACGAGTTCAAAATCGGAGGGCAAAAGGTAGACACATGGAGTGAAAGTAGATTGTATCATAAAACCCTGCATACATACCTGAGCTAATACAGGCTCAAATGTGGCTTTCTTTGGATGTCTTTAGTGTCTACTTCCCTAGAAATAGTCCAAAAGTTCAACTGAGGAGTGCCTGGCTTAACCTCATATATAGAGTGAGGACACATTTAAAATGCCACTCTTACAATAGAAGAACAATGGAACTGTCGTGGGGAAAATAATCCATAATTTTGACCTGTTATTCATACAACATCAAATCTCACCATTTAAGAAGGGGGTAAAGTTCTGTAGTCTTTAGTTTATTCATGACGTGGTGTGTCCCGACCCGCAGGATGTCAACGAGGGCAGTGAACCTAAGCGAGAAGGAATGAAGAGACAAGAGACACGAAGAATGACAGCAAGACAAGGGTTCTGATCAAGCTGCTGCTGCTAAATTTTATTTTTCACACAGCTGTATTTATATGCTTGGAATAAGGAAGCTTTTTCATTGGCCGAAGCAGCTGTAGGATGTTTGCTTAGAGCAAGGTGAAAAGGTGGTCGGTCTTTAGCAGCTGCAGGGTGTTTACTTAGGGCGTGGTGAAAAGGTGGGATTCTGTAAACTCAGCCTCAAGATGATCCAGGGAGATAGTTAAGCCTATTATGTTGAGAGACTCAACTTTTGGCTCCCAACAGTGGTGCATCCTCACCACTTCATAAATTCCGAAGATTTTCTTTATTCTGAAAATAAATCCCATACCATTAATGTGCTGGTAGGAGTCCTCCCTCCCTCTTACTGCTTCCCTGGTACCCAGGGACTACTTTCTATCCCTGTGGATTTTCTTATTCTGGACATTTTGTGGAAGTCACTGGAGTTTTCTTTTCATGCGGTGTTCTCCCAGTCCATCTGTGTTAACTGTGTGAGTGCCTCACATATCTACTACCTATTATTTAGCCAACATCAGATCTTGGGCACAGAGCTTCAGGGTTGCCCAGAGGCTGCAGATGTGGCTTTAGCCACATGCTTCTGGCTACAGGCATCTTCTCATTCTCTATTTATATGGAATCTCAACTCGTGACCAACATCTCACTTTGGGCTCTTCTTTATTTTGCTAGCCGTCTCTTTATCTTCCCGTTCTGGCATCTGCAATTACTTTTCAATTTAGTTTTCTCCTCTATCATTCCAAATGCATTTTCATCATATTTTAAACCTCGCATATTGGCATTATATTGTGGTTATCATCAAGTGAGTAATAACTTAAAACACTTTCTGTACAATGAGAATGCAGTTCTTTATTAACGAATCAAACATAAATATCTAACACTTTAATTTATTAAGTAGTTTATAGAGATTTGCCTTCTATTTTTGCCATTTTCCCCCTCCCAGCAGCTCATTAGCAACTTAACCAGAGTATGTGATTTGCATGATAAACCTTGGCAAACCAGGCATAATTAGAAGATTTTATATATAATTTCATGTATTTTTTTTCAGAGCTTTTTACCAAGTTAAGGGAAATTGAAAAAAAGATAGTAATAAAAATATAATTATGCTATCAGTACTTTTGACTCACTGTATAGTGTTTTAATTATTTGTTTTTTCCTGGCAAATAGTGTATCCATCTATCTACCTGCCTGCCTGCCTGCCTGCCTGCTTAATTTATTCCTGTCATCTGGGATGGGTGAATGGGGTTAGAAGCCCAATGTATGGTGGGGTACACATGACAACACTATGACAGTAAGAGAACAAAATATGGTGGGTGTTGTTTTTATTCCACATTCTCCAAATTCCCTAAGAGATTCATAAATACAAAACTTAGGATTATACATATATCTTTACCATATTCTAAAAGCCAACTGATTTAAAGCACAATTTCTTTAGATAGCATTTAATAAGAAAATGTCTCATTAATTGTCATCTTTAAGATATGCTAAAGTAGCTAGCTATCTCTACAGAATGTGGTCAAAGGAGTAGGAGTGGGGTTTAAGTGCTAAAAGTTCCTACTGACGGATTGCCAAGGGTTTTTACCGTGTGGAGCCTTAACAGGATAAGGCCTCTCTACTCTGGGAAGGATGCACTCCAGGTCCTCTACTTCCTGCTAGGAAAGCTTCCATTTTCTTTGTTGCTATACACATCTGCCAAGACCAAAGGTTCCCCAACCCAAAAAGAAAAACCTAGGATAGGCACAGAAAAGGATTCCCACTTACTAGCAAAAGAAAATTCAGAAGGTGGTCAGAGAAGGAGCTGCGTGGTGGTCTCTACAGTGTGGGGTCGCAAGCTACTGTTTATGGAAAGGAGCCTCGTTTCCCCGCGGCCCGTTAGCAACACTGCGAACTATGGGCGGGATTTCCAACCACTACTGAGTTTTAAAAAATCCAAATAATAGGATACTTGCTTTGTGAGCAATCATATTTCCCTTTTCCCTTTTTCTCTCTCCTTGACCTAGCATCAGGAAGCCTTTGTTTGAGGTGTTCATCTGGAACAACTTTTCCACCCTTGTTTTCGTGTTCTGTTAGATTACAGGGCAGCAGGCCTACCTTTGAAGCTCTTTTCTCTTTTGTTTCTTTGCTGTGCACTCCAGTAATTAACTTTGTCCTTCTTTTATTTGTTCCAGTCAATCGCAGGCCACTCTGCTGAGCATCTTCTCCCAGGAGTACCAGGTTAGAAGTTTTCTCCTTTGTGAGGGTTGACAGGTGCCTAATTGAATGATGAATGTCCCTTTATTTCTTTGTAATTGAACTGCCAGCTCTCTGATTGGGTTGGAGGATGGCCTCCTTTCCACATCAAGCACCGCCTGGGTCTCAGTGGAGGCCTGCCAAGCCTACCCATCCATCTGTCTAATAACATCTAGCCTTTGCTTATTTGGTGGACCTGTAATAAATTATGCTAAACCATTATTATTCTGACAATAATAATTTCCCTGTGTTGCGTGGCTCCATGTGCTAAATGTTTGCTGACTTGCACTGTCAGTGCTGCTTTCCATTGCTGACAGAGATGATGATAAATGACCATTGCTGGAGTGGCAGAAGGCAAGAGAGGCAGAAAATGGAGTCATTTATCATGAGATGACAGGTGTCAGTCAAGTGGCAAGTCTCTATGGAATTACTTTTTGTAGTTTTCAAATAAGTTGTTTTTAAGCAATGTTCTTCCTGGTTAAAAATGGCAATTGGATTGTAAAACTAGAGTGCGGAGGACTTAGATGGAATTGAATCGAGGGGAAATTAATACAAAGGTTGAAAGAGGGAACAAGTTTTCTTTGCCCTCTGCAGCCCTAAGCAAACTTATTTAGATTCAATTACTATGACCCTGTTGGCTTTTACATACATACTGTACCGTGGCGCGGTGGAAGGCATTCCAACCCAGCCAGGGAGATTAAAATGCAGAGGTTCATGGAGTAGAAGGAAGAAAAGCCCTCCTGCCACCCAGATCCCCTGGCTGTTCCTCAATGTGTCCTGGGTGCTACTCATTGGGATGAAGAAATAGGTCATTGTTGTTATTTTAATTTGATCCTGTGACACAACATAGAGATTTTTGTTGTTGTTTTGTTTCAGAAACATATTAAAAGAACACATGCCAAACATCATACTTCGGAAGTGATTGAAAATTATTACCAGAGGTATGACCTGCCTGCCCTCGCCGGGGGTAATTCACCGCTTACTACTTGTGATGATAGGAATAAATTAGATCAGTAAGTAAGGGATAGCCCAAGACTTCTGTCTTCATTTGGTTAAAAAAAAGTCATAGTCTATTTTCAAATGCATGTCTTGTCTAGATGCATATGTTTATGTATACGGTGTCTATGTATGTATGAAACTTTTCAAACCAATTTTCACTGATATTCTTCTTTGGATCAGCAAGATTGAATTTTGATGTAGTATTTTGCAGCATAGATACTAGATTAGCCATTTTAGACATTTGAAAAAAAGACTTACCAAATAAGAACATATGGAGGTCTATCATTTTGTATAATTGTCACATTTAAAAGGAGGGTGTTATATTTTAAAAATATAATTTGGAGTATTAAATCAATAGCATAGTGTCAGAATATTTTAATTTTGGTATCAGTTATTACAAAGAGTTTCTAACCTCATGTTCTGAAACAGTCTTTAAACAGCTCTTTTATAATTCTAAAATTTTAATATGACTGAATAATTTATAACTGAATGGCAGTGGTTTGCATGAGGAATAGTATGTTGGTTTCTTAAATAGTTCAGGGGTGTGTTGGGAAGGAAATCTGAAATAATACTCTTCAGTTACGTGAGATCGACAGATCAGCACTTCTGTGTTGAGAGAGACTCCTCTGGTTTTAGATAAATGACTTATGCATGACATTTTTCTAAATGAAATAAACACAGATTAAATACTGGTGTCATACTTCTGTGAAGTTGTTTAAGAACTGAGATGTTAGATAACCAACCGAAAACGTACAGAAAATTTAGTTTGCCACATAGTAAAAGATAGCCTTTGTTTTATATCATTGATCTACTAAAGATCCATCCTCCTACCCACACTAAACAAAGTCTTTGTAACGTTGTATAAAAAGTCCCAGCCATCGGTACAAAGTTAACTCTTAAATTTAAATCATAACCTGGATTGTACACTATGAAATGAAGAGTTGTTCATGAGGTCCTTCAGCTGCTCTGGCATATAGATTCTCTAGAAAAGGGCCAATTTTTTTTTTTTTTACCTGCCATGAAAAAAAAATATTTGTAAAAGTTGCAGTCTTCGGCAATCCTATAAAACCGAGGTTCTGTATCCACATGTTTGGAGTGCAGGAGAGGAAAATGTCTTCTTAGGAATAGCAGGCGGTAGGGAAGCCCTCACTCCTTTGCTTCCCTATAAAATAGGCTTTAACCACACACACACACACACACACACACACACACACACACACACACACACCTAACCACACACACACACACACACACCACACACACACACACCTAGATGATTTCTAAAAGTTTTAAGTTCTGCTAAAAAAAAATCTTCATTCCATTAAAAAAGAAAAGCATATGTAATTACTCATGCATTACTTTAAAAATTTCCTGGGTAGTTTAGGCCAGAAATAAAAATTTCAAGTATAGTTAGTAATGAATATGTAAGTAGGCAATAATGAGAGTGTAGAAATATGTTTGCATTTCCATACTTTTATTTAAATATGAGAGTCTCAGTTTTTCTGAAGAGTTGGCCTTTGAAACATAAACATGAAATTAGGCTGGAATGGACAGACTCAGGAAAGCAGGTTGGGCAGGGTCTCTATTTCCCACCAGCTTCTTCTGCTCTTTCTGCTGTGACACCTTGTTTCCATCCCTATGGCTTGACCTCACTGGACACTTGTTCTAAATTTTTTTTGTGCAGGTACAGGGTCCTGGGGGTTTGCTAAGGAAAATGGCCTTGGTGTTTGTTTTCCAGCTGATTAGAATAAAGGCAAATGGTGTTGTATCAAAACCTATTTAAGCTGCTTGAAAATGTTAATAACAATTTATTTTTTCTTTTATAAAATACCCCCTGTTGTGGAAATTAAACACTGTTATGATGGTTTAAAAAGAAGGAGTAATTGCCTGTAATTGGGCTCTCAGAGGTAACTACTGGTTAAAATTTCGTTCTCATCTTTAAACAATACATTCATATATAGATAAATGAGGTCATACTGTAAGTGCAATTCTGAATACTGAATTGTATACCTGAAAAAAATGTGAAGGGCAAACTATATTTTGAGGTTGCTGGGGTTTTGAACTTACAGTTTAGGCTTGTCAGGCAGATGCTCAACTAAAATACTACTTTAAAGAAAGCTTATTGTATTATTGGTTGCTTTAGTGTATCATGGGAAGTATCAATATTTACTGATATTTTTCAGTTCAGCATAAACCTTTGCAATGTTCTGAAATGTAAATAATGCTGTGGTACAACATCTTGATGCATGAGCTTGCATTTTTCTATTAGTTCTTTGTGTATAGTGTGAAAAATTAAAAATTGTATGTTGATAAGTTGTTTAGAATGTACTGTTTACATTCCCACTAGTAGTATGAAGGAGTTTCTTGCTGCATTCTTGCTTGCATTATGATTATGTCAAAGTCTGTATTTAATGTGGTGTTACCATGGTTCTGAGTACCCAGTGCTGTCTTAGGCTTTTAAATCACTGAGGAAATTCCCTCACTTCTCCATGCAGTATATAGACAGCTCAAGTGATCACTTGAGAACAATCTTCTGTTCTTTCATACTGTGCTATTTTATTTCTAAATAGGAAGAAGCACACTTACTAAAATTTACCTAGGTGTTTTGGTGTGTGTGTTATAGTTGGCCAGATTTTCAAGTCCTCATCCATAGGACAGCCTAGACATACTAATTCTCATCAAATTGACCAAGGGGCCAACTTGAGTAGATAAGCTTTAGAAAATCAGATCAATTAGAATTTATGCAGATGCTCACCTTGAGAAAAGGTTAGATTAAACATGGTATCGATATTGCATGGTTTCTGAACATTTGTACCACTTTGATGATACAACTTGATTTGTTTGATAATTGCTTAGGAGATTAATAGGCCTGGGTCGTGCAGAGGAGGTAAGGTATGTAGGGAAGGCCTGTTGTGAGTGTTGGCAGCACCAGCCAGTTGGTCTCTGAGGCTGGTCTCTGAAGGGCTTATCTCTACTGTCCCCTTCCTGTCTGTCTTACCCTCCACTTCCTGGCTGCCATGAGACAAACAGCACTTTCTTCTGCTGTGTCTGCCTGATGGAATAGCCTCCCTGACAGGCCTGAAAGCAACAGAGCTAGCCTGCCATGGACTAAATCCTTGCTAGGAACTAACTGCACAATTGTGAATAAGACATGGCACCTATCTCGAACTGTTCTGAAATGCTGACAGAGGTGTGTTCACACGGAGTTCTCTGGGACTCTGTAGTTCCTGTTCATAGTGTCTGGAGCGGCAGGAAATATATGCAGTGTAGAACTGTCGCTTCTCCAACGTTGTTGGAAAGGGGGTGGTGCACAGTTTGTGAGCACAGGCAGATGGCGGAGTGGAGCAGGGAAGGCAAAGCCGCTGCAGAAGGCAGCTCTGCTAGAGATTTCTTGGATGTTTGTGTGGTCCCACACCCAGGGAGCACCCAGAACTGTGAGAAGTCTGATGCTCTAAGCTCACCTAAGAGCCAACACTGCGTCAGGAATTTCTGATTATGTCTTTACTGATTTTAGTTGCATATCTAAAAATGTCAAATTCAGCTAATAGGTCACTGATGTCCCAGAAAGCATAAAAAGTAATTTCAGATTAAATCGAATCACTCTCCATCACCAGCACTTCTGAACAGGTGTGGCATAAAATTGGGAAACAAGTTGAGTAAACACATTCAGAAGCAGACCTAAATGTTTCAGCCTTGGAGCAGGGGACAGGAGTCTGTTTTTGAGCTTTATACTGTTGACAGGTAGCTTTAGGTAGGTCTCATCAATGTCCTAGGATTTGGTTTCCTTATGTAACCAGTGCCATACAACAAGGAATTTCTGCTCTGTTAAGTGTGGTTATGCTGTATTAAGTGTGGTTATGCTTCATATATTACACAGTTATTTAGATCTAAGCTTTACTGTTGCTGTTTGACTATCAGCTGTTTCTTCAAACTTGATCAGTGTTTCCATTGTGTATTACCAGGATAGTGGTTGATGTACGCTGTACCCCAAACCTCATAATCTTGACTCAGGACAACAGCTGCAGGGTGTAAGAAGTAGTCTCGCTGCTAACTCCTCTCGGTCCTCTTTTGGGGCTCAGGTCTCACTCAGCTTGCTGTGTAGGCCGCTTTGCAAACATCAAGCAGGACTTTGCTCAAGGCTCATTTCCTGCACACTTCATCCAAAGTTACTATAGTATGTCTTTGTTCATCTTTTTGTTGCTATCTCTAGACAGTAATATCTTTGTGATGGTGTGAATAGGAGTTTTTAGTGTTGTTTTGTTTTTTGCTCCCCCCCCCTGCTCCCTAAGAAAAGGCCCACGCCATAGCTCTGAGAACTATTAGCAGGATATAGAAATGTTAACTAGAATACTACAGATTCCCTAACACTGAGCTAGGATTAAACTCTCTGACGCAGAACTAGAACCTCAAACACTGTGTGCACCCGGACTTAGGAACACACAGTGGCGTGGTGGGGCGTGACTTGAGCAGCCCAAGGCAGACGTGTGCTCAGGCCGAGGCTCCCGGCCCACCTGCCTCTTCCCAGGGACATGTTCTAAACGGCACTTGCCATGTTTGATGTTTTCTCTTGCTTCTGAAAGTCCTTGTTTGGCAGTTGTCTAAAAGGATCCCAGTATGCAGAAATTTATTTGTTAGAATTATTTTGATTTACTATGATCCTGCCTTAAACTATTTATTTTTATTCCCTCTTGCTTAGAGAACCATTGCGTATCTTTGCAAATATACTTATGAAATAATATAAAATAGTCTCTTCCTGACAGTACATGAAAGACCTCACCTACAAACCTGATTTTTTGCTGACAGACAGAAAGTTCCAACTTATTCACAGAAGTAAGGTGACTTGAGAGAATGGCGTTCATGGCTGTTTCTGTCTGCTTGTCCAGCAGGGCTTTTAAAATTCTCTTACTAATTATTTTTTTCCCCCTTCTTTTTTTTTTTTTACCTTTTTTTTTTTAATTTTATTTTATTTGTGAACATACTGTACAGAGGAGTTACAATTACATGGGCAGGATAATGCGTACATTTCTTACCAAGCATTGCAGCCTCCTCCTTTGTTTACCCTTCCCAGCCTCCCCCCTTGCCCCCCAATCCCAATCCTTCTCCTTCCTCCCCCTTCCCCCCCCCACCGACGTTGTAAAGCTCGTTTTGGACATGACAACTTGTACTTCTCATTGTTGCAACAGGTCCACCTGTATCCTTAAACAACTGGTTTTTCCCCATCTCCTCCACAAGTTATACTGACATCAAATATAGTGAAAGCAGGGGTTATACTGTGGGGGAGGGACATACAAAGCAACAAAGAGATAATCTTATAAATGCGTTAGAAACATCTTACTAATTATTTCTTTTTTTTTTTTTTGCTTATGTGGTGCTGGGGAATCGAACCCAGGGCCTCATGCATGCAAGGCAAGCACTCCACCACTGAGCCACCTTCCCAGCCCCACTAATTATTTCTTAAAGAAGTAGTGTATCTGTGTATATGGAACCACCTACTATAGCCCAAGAACCCTGCTGAGCGCGACTGAATGGAATACATTTCCTCAACCCTCACAAGGCTCTCACATCACAGGGGGACCAGCTGTGACACACAAGGATAGCAGCTTTCTCTTTTCCATGGTTTGGTGTCTATGGTCGGTTGTCAACTGCATGGCTCCCTGATCATCCTCAAGACGGTGGTCAGCAGGGGGGTCGTGGGCTTTAGCTGTGTGACAGCGCCTTTGGCTTTCACTTCAACTCACCTCGGGACGTGGGCTCTGTCTAGCATCTCACATTTCCTACCAAAAATGGGGAGTACTGATTCACGGTACACTATAATAATCAGTCTTTCTCATTATTATTCATCTCTTACTGTGCCTGACTTATAAACTAAACCTTACAGTAGGTATGTATTTTTATAGAAGAACACAGGCAGCCAGAGTGTCTTGGGTGGATCCTTCATGGATAAGGGCGTTGTTTCTAGTACTGTGATTCCTGACACTGAGATGGACACCAGGAAGGGCGATTAACTCACTTTCAGAAAGTGGTAGGTTTAAAAAGAGACATCCTAACTGTAATCTCTTCTTCTGTATATCACCTTTATTACAATTAACACACACACACGCACACACACACACACACACACACACACAATAAAAGAGACATCCAAGTTGAATCATATGTTATCCAAGTGAGGGATGAGAGGAGGGACCAGTGACTAGAGAGGGGGCTGGCAGAGGAGAGCAGGGCGGAAGGAACTTAGAAGAACTGTTAAGTGGTCCTGAGACTGGACGTGGGCTTTTGTAGTATTTAAAGGAGGAGATTGGCACATTGATATCTTGGTTTTAAAGGAATTGCCCCATCTTCTTTTCTGGGATAGATTTGGAAATTTGCTTGTTTGCTTTTTGTTTTTGAGATTGACTTAGGTGATGATGAAGTCTGGAAGTGAGTTCAGAAATCAAGGGCCCATGCAATGAGGACTTGTCCTGTCTCTCAAAGGTGATAAGTCTGTTTTCTTCTTCTGGGAATAAGGTGTCAGCCAGCCCTGTGAAACAGGGAAAGAAAAGGTGAGGTGGATGTACAGATGTTTGTGTTTTTCAAATGATGAGAATCAACTGAGCTCCCTTCCGTGTGACAGCTGTCTAGGGTGTAGACAAGGCTGGTGATCTGGGTAGGTCTTTTTACATCACTTCTGCCCACCTTTCATGTTTAAAGGTGGGAAACGTGGAGCCTCAGCTTTGGTCAGTTGGTTGGATTTGAGAGAAGTTGTTTTCGTTATCCCTTTCTTTTCCCCTCAGTGCTCTCCCATGACAGTGGCACACCTGGACGGGAGCCGAGTGTGGCATTTGCCCAGGAGACGTGCGTGCACGCAGGAGTGCTCACAAGTCTGTGCTGGCCTCTTCTTGCCACTGCATCACCACCTGGCTTTGTCTTGTCTAGGTACCTGAGTGGAGTGGTGAAAAACGGAGCGGCCCCCGTGCTCCTGGAGCTGGCCAATGAGGTAATGCCATTGTTACGACCTTACTCAAACCTGCCGGGGGACCTGGGGCCTATCTGGAGTAGCTTTGCTTAGAAACATAATTAGCCTCAAAAAAAAAAGATTTTGAGGTACATTAGACATTTAAATTGCTCCCTGGTCTCTTTGTACTTTTAATAATTGGACAAAGAACTCCACATATTAATAAATCAGTTGACATAATTAGTCTGCTTCTTTTAATGCAAATGTGTAAACAGCTTCTTAGTTTCTTATTTTGTGGAAAATTTCAACCAAACAGCTCAGGACATGCTCTTCTGAGGAGATGCTTTCTTAATTTAGTGTGAGAAATACTTACGTCAAATAGACACAAATGCCTAGAAGATCTGTGCTGTTATACAACAGGAATTGTATACTTAAAAATGTAAATTCACTTGATTCCTGTTGCTTATAAACCTTTGTAATAGTAAAGGATACATACCTTGTGGAGAAGTCTCTTTCTTTGAAGAAACATAATATTCTTATTAATACCAAGTCTGAAGTGATTTATTGAATTTATTTGTTAACTCTGATCTGCTTCTGTTTGGGGAAACAGCTAACAGCCTTACATTTAGAAAAGGAAACCCTAAAGACTTTCTGTGGATGAAGAAGCTGTAGAAAGTTCATAATAGTTGCAAAGAACATACCAAAAAATAAAATATTTAATTCCTAAATGATAAAATATTTATCCACTGTAATAAGAGCAGTACAATATTTAGCCTGACTTGGAGCAGCTTATGCACACCTCAGAGGGATGGGATGAAATGCACACTGTTTTGGTGT